AGCGATTTGATCGGGACGCGGACGGATTACGATAAATACGATTAAGCGGCGCAGTCGTGGCGGTTGCTCGATATATCCGATTAATCGGTCGAGATAAAATAAACGTCGGTGGGGTGGGGCGAATTTCCATTCGCGGTCGTCGTTTGCCGTCGCGTCGCATCCAATCGATCATTGAGAGAAAACGGTGGCAATTGCCGGACCACCGAAACTTACTTCGAAAGGGCGGAATAATTAGCCGGAGTAATTTGAAAGGGACGATGAAACTGGCGCGTGGCTTGTCGGAAGTTGTAGGACGCGGCGCGATACTTGTACTCGCGAACCCGTTCCAGTTTCACTGGCAAATGCCGTAAATTGGTCGCGCGAATGGCTCGAACCGAGCCTCGCTATTTGTTTTCGCTTCCGCAAAGGACTTTCGGTTTGCTTCCGCCAGGTATTCCACGCCGATGTTTCGCTAATTTACCTACAAAGCGAACGCGCAACCGGTCGTTCGCAATCGCGATTCCTCTCGCGAGCGCCAGCGATATCTGTTATCGTTAGAACTTCCGCGCCGTTTGCGCTGATTAACCTCGTTACGTCGTCCCCGATATATTAACCCATCTCCGACAAATTCCGCGCTAACGATCGAGCGTCCGACCTGTCCCGGACACGATTTTACCGCGCATACGCCTATGCGATAAATAAATAAACGTTACGTAAACGTCTTAGCCGGTGCCACGAATCGTCCGGCAATTCTCGAATTGTTCCACGTTTGTACATCGCGCAGCGGAGCTTCTTTGCCTTGCAAATTCCTGTTTACTCTTTTCGTACGACGCCGTACCTCTTTCACGGTAAATTTAATGCTATTAAACGAACGTGTATGTCGGTCAACAAGCTTGATAACAAAGTTGATATTTTTCATGATTCTGTAACAACGGTCTCGAAGCGAGCCACCTTCGACTCGTTATTCGTAGCAGTAGCTGTTCTCAGTTATCTGTATCGATCGTTATTTTCTTTATCTTACTTGTAGTCTCTCTTATTTATCTTCTTCCCATCTGCTTCTTAGTACGTATTCTATGGTATTTGACGTATGCCAAATGTTTCGTTTGTTTTATAAGGAGACGATAGACGCGCGACGTTCTCTTTCTTTTATATTATTTTCTTCTATCGCAACGAAACGGATCGTACGTAATCCGATGGAACGATATAAAACGAAAAATCTCGCGCGTTATTTCCTTGTAAAGGAAAAGAAGCTTCTCGCCTAATATTTACCATATTTCTATATTCTAAACGACACCGCTCTTTCGTCTCTGTTAACGCCGTTCGGGCTTCCAAGTTATCAGGTTGTCCGAGAAGTATCTTTCTTTCGCAAACACGTTTTTTACAACAGTGCACCTCCGTACAAACGTGAAACCAAGTCCGTGAAATGTCACGGTGTTTACCTCGACAGAACAAAAATGGATCGTACGCAATTCGCTAAAATAATATAAAACAAAAAGCGTTGTTCGTCTATTATTTCCTCACAAAACGAAGGAAACTTTCCGGACAACGTAATACATTGTCGTCGAACGTTTCGTTCGCCGAGCACATTGCCGAAATTGCGGCTACAGCGTTCGAAATACTCGGTTTCATTTATAGAACATCTAGCTGCTTTAAGAGCGTAGTCGCATTAAGAATTCTACGCTGTTCTGTTCCATCATATTCGAAATTAATGCCATATTAAAACCTGTTTGGACTTGTGCGATCCAACTATGAGGAACAGCGAGTAATTCCAACATAGAAATTCTTCAACGATTCCAACCGAAAACTCTAAGATCCTTGATAGATGCATCTCGCTATGTTATCAACGAAACAATACATGGCGACCTTAAGATACCAACATTTAAAGAAGAAACATCCAAATTCGGTTGTATCTGAACTATCGAGATATGTATAATTTTATGTGCTACACTAGGTTAGATGCGTAGTAGTAATACTTGTATGCGAATATGAGTGTGTGGAAGTACGTGTGTACGCGGAGTCTCGAAAACAGATGAACGTAAACTGTTCAGTCGGTTAACAGTGGGCTATGGAAGAAAGTGTTGAGACGCGTGCAAGTTTGTATCTTTGAAATCGTTTATCGAATAAATATGTAACTATTCTAATATGAATTCCAAGCGTAAATTTAGTATTCCTGTACCATTATTTCGGCTATTAACCCATTTGCATCCAAGCGCGGATATTACTTTTTATTTCAGTTGCTAAGTATCCTTCAGATGTGAGAGATCGCGTTTGACACGTTTGTCAGCATCTTGCCTATATCGGTTTATTGTTTCGACCATTTTAAAGAATTCCACGAGAAATAATACGATTAAATTTCCTATTTCTTATTTTTCTAAATAAATAACTTTTTCTTTTTTCTCAGCTGTAAGGAACGTAAGATGCGATGTTTGCGAAGTAACATTGTCTACCTAATCGTTTCGAAGAGTAAATTTTCGATAAACTCCACGAAGAATTCGAATGTCATTTACCGCAACTACGACCGACCACGCGCGGTGATAGGAACCAGTCTTCTGAAAGTAGGGCCATGATGCAAATGGGTTAAGATCCAAAATTCTCAACGATAACATAAGAATTAAGAACCACCAAAACCCACTACGCCCACTACACCCACACAACCCACTACAAAACCACGCAGGCTGAAAAGACATTACCCTTTAGATCGAAGCATTGGATTCAACTAGAATCGAACAAATACTTCGATAAACACTTATTAAACACGACATAGAAACACGCGAGAATAATTTACCTATAATTCTCAATGAGAATCGATCGTAAAATTCTCGCAAATAAAAAAGAAAAAAGTATTTTCGAAATAAGGTTCGCAAGGAGATATTCGGCGTATGTTCTTGCGTCTGGTCGCTCGTTTTTTGGTCATACGGCGACCGTATCTGCTCACCTGCGACGTACGATCGATTTAAAACGACCAACGTCTTAAAACGAAGTTGCCACTTGCGCACAAAGTACTAAACGCTATACGTAGTGGAAAGTTCGATTTCGTTTGAAATCGTGCGTTTCTCGGCCCGGCTGGAGACATCGTTTTCTTCTCACGCGACGGTCGCATCACGCTCTTCATGGTCATTTTATAAATGTTAATGAGTTGTGCGAGGTTCTTGACTTTTTCTGTCCACGCGTTTCAACGACGCCTCTCGTTCCTGTCTCGCTTTCGAATACACGACGAAACCGATCGTACATTTACTTGTACGTTAAAAGATTCTTTTTTAACTACAAGTTAGACAATAAATCAAATGTTATATATACGTCATTCATTGAACAAATGGTTAATTAGCGCGCCCACTACCTTTTAACATCTTCGCTTTAGCTCGGTTTCACGTATCTTCAGGTCGAACTAACGTTACCGTTAATCGCCGTATTTAACCGTATCGGGCCAACTCGTACGCTCGCCAACTTCATCTTTCGCCTCTTCTCTTCGCTCTTTTACGGTATAACGTTCAGCGTCTGAGTTATGCGATGTATCTTAACGCTGTTTCCACATGCTCCGTATTATTCTTTATGTATATATATCATTCATTCGTTTCTTATTGCGTTAAATTTTCCAAAAGGATGCTTCCCGTTAAACGAACGAGTAAATAAATAAATAAGTAAATAAATACATACTCGTCGCGATTCATATTGTCACGTAGAAAATTAAAGAAATTACGAAATTGACATATCACCGGTGATCTCCTAGCGTCGCAGTTCCAACGTTTCACAAATAAGGTAAAGAATCGAACTTCAGATATTTTCAATTATTATTTACAATTCGTCCAGCCGAACATCTGATAAATCTTTTTAACTTAATTGCTAAATAACACGCGGATGGCTACCCACCGTGGGATACCATCTTCGAGTTTGACTATTTTATTTCTTCAGTAAGGTCAGTGGGGTGTTTTCCTTTTAATCTTCTTTCGATGAAAGTTAATTTTAGATATAGTGGTCAAATTTACTGTACAAATCCATCTGAGTGACGGTTCAGAGTGTTGGAACAGGGAGTGTCGAGAGCTGATTTTAGAAAATTTTATATTTGCGTTTGGCTCCTATGGAGGTGTCGCTGGGACCCAAGGTCAGAGATGGCCACGCTGTTACAGTTTCCTGGCGCTCGAACACTGTCTACGTCGCTGTTTCGATGGGCCGCGGAATGTTCGTTAGATCTCGTTGGTTTTTCCATCGCCGATTTATGGCTCTGTGACGATATACGCAACGACCATCTATTAGAAATCGTGACGAGTCGGGAATCGTTGGCGATACGACTTCGACGAAACGAACGCTGGATAAAAATGTCGGTAGACGAGGGATCCTTCGTCCGGATCAACAGGGTTGTTCGCGATCTTTTCCGAGAATGCACGCGCACGCGTGCGTCATCGATCTTCGAGCAAAAAGACGACCGTTTCTTCGACTCTTTCTACTACGTTCGCGTTCGACGGCGAAGCAAGAGAAAGAAGAAGATCGATTCGCGTTCGACGTCGAAAAGACGCGTTTCGTTCCGATGATTCACCTTTGCTGGAATTCGTTCGCTCTCGATTCTATACAAGAGGCATAGAAAATACTGAAATACTGTTTCCTTTCGAGTCAAACACGTCAGCGCCGTTCGAAAGAAAGCTTAGTTCACCGCGTCGAACAGCTCGCCCTACGACCTTTGGCCAATTTAACCGAACGATAATAAACGTCAGTGAATTTTGCCAGCCGATACGCTTTTTCTCTCCTTCTTCCTTTTCCTCCAAATCCTTTCTTCCTGTATGATATTACGAAGCATCGTAACGTCATATTAGGCGTATTATACATACGTCGCTGTCTTCCTCTTTCATCTCAGATCCCATTAGTCGCATTTGTAAAACTACGAACTCTTTGAGTAAAACGACATCGATTTGTTCACCGGGTCTGTCGAATTTCTCAAGCGACGAATAGTTACGATTTCGCGAATGTTCCGTTTAATCGTGTTCTCTCCTGCTTTTCTTTCTTCTTGCGTCTCTAACATACTACACTTTCTTTTCTTCGCCTGTTGCATTCCTACGCGTTGCATCTGCTTACTTTTTCATCCACCTTCCGTATACGTTCGCTGTGCACTTTGTTATTTATTACGTACGTACGTGAGTGCATTACGCGTACAATGTTCCATCGTACGCTAACGAGGATTATATCCCGTTGAAATAAACGAACAAACGTTGATAGACAGCGTCGTCACCCGCAAACGACTTGTGATCGAACGATATATCAAAGGGTTACACGACCGCGAACGCCGGTAATAAAAATAATTAATACAAGAAACGACGGCTCGTCTCGAAACTCGTCAATTCGGCAACATCAAGCCCATTCCGATAACACGCCGCGACTACGATCCGCTCTTAACCGGTTAACTGTATCGGACGAGTTTACTCGTCGTCGCTCGTGTCCTTTTACAAACTTCGCGATCTAATCCCACGAGAGATTTCTAAAACTAAATTCCGCGGTTAACTGATCAACGTGCCCGGGATTGTTCGCGCTGAAACGAACCAGAGACTCGTAAGCCGACGTTACGTTTGTCTCCGGTAGAAACTGTATCTATCGATCGCATCTGCCAACGTGCCGTGTATTGGACTAGTCTCGCGAATCGTTTCGAAGAAACACGCGAGAAACTTGTGTCTGACTGAGTAAAAAGCGGCGTTACTCGAACTTGTAATAAATATAAATAAACGAATAAACAGGCAGTTTTCTATTTTCTGTCGCGCAATCTCGATCTCGCGGGACGTCCGTAGAGAAATTTGCGCGAGAACGAGATATTTGCGAAGGGAGGGGAGAAGTCGCGGGTGGCGCGTCACGAGGACAAAGTCGAGCTCGCGGTTACACCGAAAGAATGCAAGGACAGGGAAGAGTCGTCTCTGGTTCGCGAAGGTGGGGCTCGTCGGTATTTTTCGTAGTCAGCTGTACAAAGATTGACATCACCGCCGCGTGCCAGAGCGCTGATTCATCGAAAAGAAAGCACTCGAGTCGATAGTACCGGGAAATGAATTAAAGTAGCCGTTTGTCGTCGATCGAGATAACGAGCCGCGCGTCGCGTTCGGCA